GAAGGCATTTGTTTAGCTCTTGCGGGGAAATTTCTTCAGAAGGAGTTGTGAATTATTTTTGTATTTAAAATCATTCTGTAAAAAAAAGTATTAAATTTAATTTTAAGCTTATTTATGAACAAGTCAACTAAATAAAGTAACGCAAGACTTAAGCTTAATTTGCATTTGTGAACAAAAAACTTTTTCACCGGTTTTATTGATAAATTCAAGTCAAAAAGACAAAGCTTTACCCGTCCAAACTTACAAACCGAACCTCGTGACCTTTTGCGTGTATTTCGGGAACAGCTTTCTTGATTAGTTGTGACATTTCTTTGTTTGTTAAGGCGGCAAACCGGGAAGGCAAGCGAGTTTGGCCTCGATCGCTCGGAGGAATTGGAGGTGAATCAGTGAATAGTGCAGGATATTCACTGATTGAGTAGCCAATCAGAGCGCGCGAAAAACATTATCCACTATTATAGTATATACTAAGCACTTAATAAGTTCAGGCTGTTTTTACATTCATTAGTTTTAATCTAAAACTGTAGTCAGCCAATCAGAGCAGAGTATGCTTCATGAAATGATGATGAAATGATTAAAGTGAGAATTCAAAAGAACATGCAAATGAGGACCAATGATCCTCTGTCTAGAAGATCACATGTCAGTTTAGACTAGCGGAAGTTTGTGAACACATTAAATTTGGAATCTGAAAATGGACAGGAAGTCTCACTTTCTATGACACTTTTTTCAAGCCGAAAGACGTTTCGGAGTGACGATCTTCTGATCATCATTACTAATTTAGTTCTTTGTCACAAAAGCAGCAGTGCCATCTATTGCTTTCAAAAGACGCGTGACTCAGTTTAGATTTCCTTTGCAGGTTGACGTCACTCCTGCATCACGTGATTACAATGGAAGTGGCAACTCGTTTCTTATCCAGCTTGTCGTTAGAAAACCCCGCTTAAGGCGTGTTCGTTATGGGCGAGTTCTTGCCAATCACCCTGTCGATGAAGAGTTTGAAGGGCAGTTGTCAAAACCATTCTACTTTCGTCAACAAGACCATGGTGTCGTCACAGATGTTTTGTTTCCAAAGAGCTCTGAATCACCTGAAGTTGAAGCTTTCAAAAAGGGTATGTATGACATCGAAATCTTTAATTCTATGTGATTGTTCATCTCGAGGGAAAATATAAAAAGGCCTAAAAACCGAGACACTATAAACTTAAACGACGGACAATTAAGGAAAAATGGAGAAGCTGTTGTCGTTCAGGGGTGCCCTGGTTGCTAGAGGGATATTTTTAATCACGTAGAATTCGAACAGCGTAGCCGCGACCACAAGGAGCAGCGTGCCGAGAAAAAAAGGCCTTTGGTCGCTTGAGTTTCCAGCCTCATTTCCAAGCAATTTTGAGGATCGGTTATATCACCAACATGGTTTTAGAGCCGACAGTTAGCTGGCGAAATTTATCCAAACGTTTTGAGCAAAAATTGGGTGTAGTTTTCCCATGGGAAGTAACTTACTGTGGTGTATATTAAATTCCAGCTTCACTAGATCTGGTCGCGGGGGATTATACTGATTCTGTGACAAAACGTAGAACGACAAGAGAGCGATTGTTATTGGCGTCACTGTCCCGTTCGTTTGCATATTCAGTCAAGACTAAGCACAGTTATCATTATAACCGTCACAACGATGTCAGATGTGCAAAGAACACATTCTTTTATTGAATACATTTAAGCAAAGCTTCTTCCTAAGCAGATTTTAATTGTTGGAAGTTTGAACCTTAAAAAAGAAACGTTTGCATTATGAATAATATTGCTAAAAGAACACCCTTAGCCTGCAANGGTTTTAGAGCCGACAGTTAGCTGGCGAAATTTATCCAAACGTTTTGAGCAAAAATTGGGTGTAGTTTTCCCATGGGAAGTAACTTACTGTGGTGTATATTAAATTCCAGCTTCACTAGATCTGGTCGCGGGGGATTATACTGATTCTGTGACAAAACGTAGAACGACAAGAGAGCGATTGTTATTGGCGTCACTGTCCCGTTCGTTTGCATATTCAGTCAAGACTAAGCACAGTTATCATTATAACCGTCACAACGATGTCAGATGTGCAAAGAACACATTCTTTTATTGAATACATTTAAGCAAAGCTTCTTCCTAAGCAGATTTTAATTGTTGGAAGTTTGAACCTTAAAAAAGAAACGTTTGCATTATGAATAATATTGCTAAAAGAACACCCTTAGCCTGCAACCTGTAGTTAGTTTTGAGGAGGAAACAATTTTTAACCAGCGAAGTATTTTGGTCTACCAGTCAAGGTCGCGGCTGTCGCGTTAACTAGAGAGACTAATAAACAACCCTGAGCCAATTCTATCTAAAGAAAGCTGCTCGTTCTTTCGACAAAGAGTCCGTATTGGTAGCTTGTATAAACCGCGGACCAGATATTTCAGAACGAATCTATGGAGCGGGGGTTGTTTTATGGGGGAAGATTATAACCCCAAAATATAAATGATGGAAATATTATGACACGTATTTCTTCATCAGACCTGTGACGTGACTTGTTTTCCAAGAATGTAATGCTTACCTCGAAATATTTAACGACATCTATTTAGCATAATTATTTGAGGCTATGTTCACACCATACCAGAGAGCTCCTTCGCAGGCACGAAAACCACACCGGATAGAGCTTCTGTTCTGACACAAGAACGGTGATTTCGGGGCGATTTCTGTTGAGAATCGAGCGAAGCTGCGCCGTGCCGATCTCGAAAGTGGAGCGTCAGAGATTGGATAAGTTCTGTGCCTTATTTTTGTGCTGTGTGACCGGGTATTCAGACCGTAGTGGAAGTGAATAAGTAGCAGCGAGGACTGCAGGGGAATCTACTGATACAGAAATAAGTATTCCTGGAATCTACTGATACAGAAATAAGTATTCCTGAGTAAGGAATGGGAGTTAGTTAAACCAAATCCTCTCGGCCTACTGCACCGACACTGTCTGTGAACGGCGTTGCCGTTAATACCATAATGGTTAGCTTTTCGCTTCGGCAAGAAAAGCTGTCCGGTATAGTGTCAACACAGCCTGAGTCTTCAAAATATCAGGAAAACTTCGGTTTTTATAGGTAAAGGAGCATTACTTTTTCACCCAAAATGAAAAGATAACAATATGTTTAGTTACGTACTGTTTTTTTGCACGCCTCCAACGTTTATCCAAGCTTCTTCTCCAAAGATCGTGAAAATTGACGACTTCCATTGGTGGAAAAATAAGTTTTGGCTGCCACAAAATCTTGAATTTCCCGCCAATAGAAGGAATGATGCCACGAATGAGAGGGACAGTTTGCCCAACATGATCCAATATAGCGACTTCCAGTGTCGAACTGATAATCTTGGGATCGGATAGGCTTCTGAGAACAATTTGTAACTAAACGCCTTAGAGACTGGTCATTACTTATCGCCGGAGGGGGGGGGGGGGGGGGG